GTGTGTGTGTGTGTGTGTGTGTGTGTGTGTGTGTGACCGACCAGACTAGCACAGGATTTTTCATGTCCAGTTTACAATCTGCTCTTCAAGTGAGACGGATGTTTTTTTGTTCATGATAGAACCTGATGCTCTCACTTCTTCTTTGATCAAATCAGCCTATTGTTATGATGCTACCACCCTTATCATAAGGAGTACTGTGAGGATGTCGACACCTTTAACTCCCAAATATTCCAACCCCCCCTGTAAGGAGACTGTACTGAATTACGGATTCCTGCTTGTGTGTTCTTACAGCACCCGTATATTCAGAAAAGTTGACAGACATATTTTTTTTTAAATGCAGTGTATTGAAAGTTGGATTCAGTGTTTGCAGTGTGAACTTGTACAAATGCACATTTCAAATGTTCAAAAACAACCCAACTGTGCCTTAAATTTGTGCTTTAAAAAGAAGACGACTGGCACTGCAGAATGTACTGGATTTAAGAAATGATTTAACTGTTTAAAGGGTGAGTAAGGCCTGCCATAGATGTAGTTTTGGTAGAGTTTGACATCTTCAGATTTTGGTATTTTGTAGCAGTTTACTTTGATATTAAACCAAATGCTTCTCTCTATTTATTATTATGATTTTGTTTAAATCAGCTGTGGTGATGTACTATTTTAATGTCACTAGACCAGTTACACACATGTCATAACTTTTCTTTCATCGAGGGTCGACCTTACATCCACTTCCAAACAATTGTCAGGATGTGTAAAATGACAAAATAAAGTGAACACTTTCCGAAATAAGCCAGTCGATAATGCATCACTGTAATCTATTTTTGTACGTCTCAGCCCACACTGACTGTAACGAGGCTGAATGTAAATGTTGGTTACACGTGATGACACTTCTCCAGCCTTGTGCGTCACCTTTAAATGCATCCTAAATGAAAGCATTATTTTCCTCTGTATTTTATGTAAACACTGTACATTGATATAATTGTAACATGTACTATTATATGCAGCTTTATTTCCATTACATTGTATGTTTGGGGTATCCCTAACCTGCTAGCCAGAGGGGGGAGGAGGGAGTGGTGGGGGGGGTGGAGGTACAATACTACAGACATTTAAGAAGACACAGACGTTTTAATGTAATTTGTCAATTGTACAAACAGCTCAAATTAAAGGTTTATTAGGAGTTTTTAAACTGTGCTTGTGCTGGTTTTATGTGCACACGTGGGGCAGGAACATTCTAGAAACAGCCTGTACTTTAGCGTTTACTCATCTATGACAAGGCTGTTATAAGTTTTTAATATACATAATATCTCAAGTTTTAAACAATAGTGCCAAATTCCAAAATACCTATCTCAGTTAAAGGTGTCTAGTTTTTTAATACCCAAAACACCTCATTGGTTTGGCTCTGTGTGATATGTTTTTGTATTAAACTCCAACCAACTCTCCTATCTATTGTCTATAGGCCTTCAAGCATGTCTTCCCAACAACAAAAGCCAAAAATAGGCAGCCAAATAGAAAGTAATATTTGTATTCATCCTTATTAACATTGAGTAGAACAGGTGAAGTCGTTTTATTGTTGTAATAGGAAACATTTTCCTATTTAAATGAGATGAGTGAGTGCGAGTTGGCTGTTTTGTTTGTAATCAGGTTACATCACCCTGTGACGAGGCTGGGGTCCTGGCCATAATTGGAGATGTGCACTCAGTTATTCACACACAGCCTGTTGGTCTACGGAGCGTGTTAGCCTTGCTAGCCTGTGTGTCTTTCTGATCTCATTTTCTGTGCAGACCTGACACTGCAAGTTAAAGCTGGCGACTCAAAGCTTCACTATCAACATCATATTCCTGCTGTTGCTTCTCTCAGGTAAATGTCTTTTGTATTTTGTGGAGTCATTTAGGGTACGATAGTCACCGTTAGCTTAACCGTGACGAAAATGTGCTTTATCGGGATGTAGCAGCTCAAAACATGACGTGAAGCTAATAGGAATAACAGCGTCAATTCGAGAAAAGACTGACACAACTACAAGATAGGGTCACTTTTCATGCATGTTATTTTTGTGGTTATTTGTTAGCAAGCAAAAGTAGTCCCAGACAGGCAGCAGTTTGCTAACAGACCCAAATATGGTACAATAACTTTGACTTTTACCAAGGTAACGTTAGCCTACGTAACACCATTCAGTAGACCAGCCCCGGTATGGAGCTCCTGTCCGGCATAGAAACCTCCATGACAACACACCCTCTGTTCCAGTATGGCGCACTTGTGATTCAGGTAAAGTCAGTAATTAAATTGTAATGTGACTCGGCAGTTCTGCAAGTTAAACCGGTGGTATTTTCCTGATTTGGATTTGCGTAACGTTAGAATAAAAAATAAAACATAATTGAAGGTCGGTTTACAATTACTAATAAACATACGCACTCATGTTCAAATTGAACACATGCATAACTAAGCTACACGTAGCTTATAAAGTCAAATGACATAAAGAATGTCCAAGAAAAACAACAACAAATAGACAACTAAAAATTCTTATAATTTAACCATATCATTCATGTTCTGTGAAATTAAAGAGTCCTATTATAGTGTGCTATATTCACTTGAAATATAGCTAATAGGCCTTATACGTATAGTTTTAATTTGAACCATAAAAAAAGGCTTATAATATATTTCTTCATGAAACAATTTCCAACCTACCTAATCACTTGCTACACAAAACAACTGACATCTAGTGGTAGAAGCTTGCATCGCATCTTTAGTTCTTTACAAAGATAATTGAAAGGAGTGTATGAATAGACCATTTAAAAACTATTAAATAGGCTTTGCATTATACAAAAATTACAACAGAAGAAAATGAGGGGGTTGTATGTCATGCATTAATCAAATTAAATACTCCGCAATATTGAGACTAACTAAAAGCTGCTTTTTCTTTGCCCCAAACGATCAGTCTTTCGTTATATGTGACATCTCGCATTAGAAGAAAATGTCAGGAGTTCACTCACTGCTTATTTGTTGTTATTCAGTGTTAAAAAAACAAAGCCCTTTCAGGGGTAGACATTAAGGGTAAAATGCCACTGGCCCTCCGGGCCGGTGGAATTGTATTATCACTGGCCCCACCATTGTAACCACTGGCCCGGAGCATTCGTCCAAAAAAAATCGACTTATAATGAAGAAAATGAACACATTTGTTGCAATAGTAATTTATGCACTAACTACATTACTACTTGTACTACAACATTTGAATCATCAGTTCTTCCTCATTTCCTCAATTATTCATATTTGGTTTATTAAAATAATTATATTGTGGTCATTGTTAAAAAATCTCAGCTATTATTATGAGTATTATTATTTGTATAATGCGCTTTCTACCTTCCTGTCATCAGGAGTTAGACATGTAATGGCTATGTAATAGATTAGATTAGAACCTTCATTATCCTAAACTGCTGGGACATTTCCCTAAAGCCAATACCTTTATATTTTCTACTCTTCACTTACTTGTCAGCATAGGTCGGCATTGATGTATAGAGCCGACAGAAGACCTTGTTTATATTGGCATCATATTGAGAGGTGCAGTGATGCGTCATAGAACCAGGAACATGAAAGTAAACGGCGGGGAGGCCGGCGGTAATTGTGGTCGAGTGGGGGGCGGAATTTTTTTCGAAGCAGACGAGCCGAGGAGGGCATAAGAGCTGAACATAAATCAATTTAACCAAAGCAAATAATTGCGATGTTTGTACTCGCAAAACACTCAGCACACAACAGCAACAACCACTTTTCGTTGTCGACAAAACGGACGGCCTCACTCGCGGCTCGTCCGAGGGCACTCGCCCTCGCGCGAGGAAGTGCATGTCATGATAGCGCGCGTGGATTAGGTAAGCGGTAATTACAAAAATTATGGTCGCCATTGGCCGGTTCGGGCCCGTCTTTTGTTAGAAGTTTATTTTCTTCAGTGGCCCTCCCTCAATTTCCTCTCACTGTCCCTCATACTCTTCTTCTCCCTCTCGTTGCAAAGTCCGCGTCGAACTACGCTTACCTCAACGAAGATCACGTCACTGGCGCAGATTTTGGGGAAAAAAAAAATTTATTAGATAGCTATCTAAATACTAAACTTTCACTATTTCATCGCGCATCTGTACACCCTAATAGGCCGACTTGTTTTGTCACGTAAGTAGTTTGTCCAAACCAAAAGGTGTCTGGAATAAAGGTCGATAAAAAGGTTTTGTGGAAACCTCTTTAGGGGTAACGAAAAACAGCTCCTTTGTCGTCG